ACCATTCGGACTCCTGTCATACGACACCTGACTTTCATGGGTATGGTTAATCTAGATCAAGCCTGCGTGTAAACAGACCCCGATGTAGTTTCCGATAGGAAGGATCGACATTACTTACGTTAATGTTATGAGTTTAGTAGTTATACGTCCAGAAGAAGCTTCATGAAATGAAGGAAATAAAATGATTGAAATAAACTTTATTCAAATTGACTTATAAGACTTTCTTTCTATGGAAAACTCTTATGAATCGACCATTTTTTTTCCATTCAGGGCATCTTTTAGCTGATAAGAAGAATGGGCGCAAGAAACTTATCAGCATTAACAGACGTAGCAACATTTACATAGAATCATGTCGTTACCAAAACAATTAATTAGATACATTAATCTATATATATAAAACTCAAAGGTGACTGACTGACTGACATAGTGATCTATCAACGCACGGATCGGGCTGAAATTTGGATGCAAGTAGATGTTATGACGTAGGCATCCGCTAAGAAAGTATTTTGATCAATTCTACCCCCAAGGGGATAAAATAGGGAATGAAAGATTGTATGAAACTTTGTCAATTTTAAACCGATCGGGCTGAGACTTTGCATGCAGGTATAAGAAGAATCATAGATGAATGTCATTGTGTATAAAACAAGCCTGAGAACAAAAACTGTAGTCTACACTTCAGCTCTACACCGAAGCGAAGCGAGGGCGGGCCGCTAGTTAGTTATGTGTTTCATAGTTACTAGTGAATTTAATGAGATGGCTGCCCCACTTCAATGAGCGAAGTGTTCTTTATTGCCAGATACTTCAGAGCAATTTTCACGTGAGCTTTTAGTTCATGAAGCGGTAGATTAACAATACAGTGCGGTAACTTATTATAAAAAGTTATACATTTCCCTAAAAAAGAGTTTCGTGTTTTTTGTAATCTAAAAGTTGGAACATGGAACTATACCCATAGCACAAACAAATATCGAATCGTATCGTTTGCGAGTAAGAAATGTCATTGTCAAATGTGTACTGATTTTTAGTTCTCTTTACGTACGATATGGCGCTAATTTTCAAGTTTTCATACAAAATTTGAGAATGACATTTCGGACTCGAAAACGTTACGAATTCGATATTGGTTCGTGCTAAGGGTACTAAACTACTCCTACTTAATATACTTCTTATTATAAAAGTTAAAGTTTTTATGTTCGTTACTAAATCACACAAAAACGCCTCAACGGATTTGGATGAAAATTGCACACAGACAGCATAAAACCTAGAAAGAGACATAGGGTGATTTTTATCTCAGAAAAGTGTATGAAAATGTCAAGAAAAACGCGAAGAGCGGCGCTGCTCACTAGTGTTTTACATAAATCACGAAATTAAAAACGATACTTCGCTTTTGGAATATATATGATTAACTACATATATAAGGTCTAGATCCAGACCAAGAGCTTGTTATCAGCTGTGTAGAAAAGTACAAGAGAACTAATTTGCAACCCATCCGAAAATTGGCCTTCGCTGAAGTTACTTAACTTCCACGATCGCAGAAAGCACGACGTAACCACTATCAGACCCGTACACACGACAAGTAAAACCACACAACGCCAACAGCGTGACATAACAATGTCAGTTGAGTGTTATAATTAATTAAATTTACCATACTACGGTATGGTTTATGTAGATTTAATTAATGGTCGCACGTCTAAAATGTTTCAAACTTACCAATTTACCTGTCAACGCTATCAGCTATTCAATGAACACAAGGCTAAACCACAGATAATTGAATACTAGAAGGTAACCATGCGCTGTCAACTTGATAAGTTAATTCTAGTTCTGTTAAACTAACACTTAAAATTGTCAGAAACAATTAACTTAAATCATTCTAGAATCAGTGGATTTGTAAATATGACATTGGAAGCCGATTTTTCTTGTTCTTTTTGGTTTGATGGAATTCTTTTACTTATATAGTGATTAATTTGCTACTTTAACTTATTTTTGATATAATAAGAGCACAGGTAAGTCATTCCACAAATACAAAACGTTTCCAACCTTTTGGAAACGAACATAAACTACCATAAATATAATGTGCCTTATATGGTCGGTGTTTACGCATGTCCATGATCAACCATGGCTATTAAAAAAAAAAGGTAGTTGTCATCGCGCTGTCATATGCCAATCATGTGCTTTTGAATTGTTCAGAGGTCAGAACTTTTGTTAAATGCTTAGAGTGAAAATTTTAATAAGATTTAAGGAATAGTTGAATGTACTTATAATTTTGTTGCTTTGTGAGATTGAGTATAGACAATAAGTGTATACTTTGTTGTTAGAGTGATTGCGAGTGCTTGTGAAACGGGCGGCCGATCAGGCCTACAAGTGTCTGTGTACTCCCTATTTCCCCCTATCCATCCCTATCCCGGCCATACACAGGCGCCACCCAGGCTACCACCGAAGGAGACTCCACAGAGGAAAATAAGTGAGTGATTGAACATTATTTTTTATTATTTACCTCTCATCAAATAGGATAATAACCTGTGTAACACAGTATATGTTCGGAGGCCTGTAGGTAGGCTCGAACAGTCGAGATTCTGTAACAACAAACTCACTTTTCATAGCGGAATTCTCCGATGTGATTTGAAATTGATGTTCCAATTGTAAAACACATCGTGGATTCCGAGGTAAAAAGTGAGTTTGTTTCCACAGAATAGTACTGCGGAGGTAGGCAGCTTAAGTGGCATACAGAAGAGACAACAGGTGAAGTCGACTTACCGTAGAGTGACGACCAAGAACAGGCCGCAGGAAGTGGGATCGCAACCCACTAGATACTCCGATGACATCTAAGAGAACTATCTCTGCTACTAAGAAGGACCTAGCCCAAATGGCACGACACCGAGCACATCTCTGTAGTATGGAAGTGACTTTTACTACCCAGTAGTGAGCAGATACGATTTGAGAAGAAGATAGGATCATCATCATTATACATTCATACGACATCCACTTTAGAACTTTGTTCCCACAAAAGAAATTCCACAAGATTATGACACTTCTTCCCACTGATAGCTCCTGAGCTGCCTACATCAAGCGACTTCCCGCGACTTTTTAATAAATCCTCGGACCTGCCTACCCACTGAGCGTGGTCCTGTGCGCGTTCGAGCTTCAAGCGGTTGTTTAATTCTCTTGCGGATTTCCTAATTTCTGCCACGCAAGAAATTACCGATTCTTATGAGCTCCACGGTAAACGTCCACGTTTCGCTTCCACATGTCATCACTTGCAACACATACCGGTCAAAGACTTATGTCCTGAGATTCAGTAAAGTAATTTGGACGCGAAATTGTTCCTTAGCATCCCGAACGGTGCTAAACTGACCTGGATACAACATGAGATCTCTTTGTCAAAGTTGGGTTTACTCAACGAACTGGCTATTCCAGGTAATCGTAATGAGATAGATATAGTAAGCGTAGCGTAGATAGTAATATTATAGATTTATAATTATAATAGTGAAATGACTGCTGCATACTTTCTTTTTGAGGAGACGATCGCATCAGATAAAACCTTAGAGGCTCTTATGGCCTGAGGTATCCCTCCACGAGTGTTTTAGTCAGCAAGAGTCTGAAATAGCCTGACAGCCAGCTGTTAAGTATCCAGGAGGATTCCACAGCCACTCTTTCTCTTGAGAGGTAACAAAAGGATGTGAAGTACTCAACAATAGATGTTAAATTAAGTTATCACTGCACTAAACGGCGAGGCGCGCTGCGTGATGAGCGGGATGGGCAGGTAATGGGGGGCAACCAAGGAACTAATACACTAACTGGAATGCTTATGCGACCCTCGAAATCGTTCCAAGAGCATAGCTGAATTAGTGGAATCTGTCTTGTTCTAGTAGTGTGCCCAAACAGTTGCAAGAGAAGGACAGATTCTACTTTCGTCGTTGTCGCGCTAGGAGTATTTTTCCCACTTATGAAGGTAGAAACAAAAATGGACTTTATGTATAAATAGTTCATCATCAGCCTCTCTATGTCCCCACTGCTGGGGCACAGGCCTTCCCTATATGGATGGAATAGGGAGATTGGGCCATGACCCACCACGCGGGCCCAGTGCGGATTGGCGGGTGCTAACGATTGCAGATGCAACCGGGACCAACGGCTTAACGTGCCTTCTGAAGCACGAAGGGACTCGAGATAGAAATTTTTCATCACCCATCCAATGACCGACCACTGCGAAAGTTGCTTAACTACCGCGCTAACCACCTGCGCCATCGAGCTGCTCCTAGTATAACTGGTTAGAGTACATTATTTGAATTCCAATATTGTTTGGTAAGCATTCCTTGGGCGCGACATAGATGATATTGAAGTTAGTTACCTGTCGCGGCGCGGGGTCGCATCGCTATAAGTGCGCGGGCGGCGGTGAGGCGCGCTGCGCAACCAAGGAACTTATATAGTAACTAGAATGCTTACCGACCCTCGAAATCGTTCCAAGAGCATAGCTGAATTAGTGGAATCTGTCTCGTTCTAGTAGTGTGCCCAAACAGTTGCAACAGAGGGACAGATTCCACTTTCGTCGTTGTCGCGCTAGGAGTATTTTTCCCCCTTATGAAGGTAGAAACAAAAATGGACTTTATGTCTTATTTAACTAGTTAGAGTACATTATTTGAATTCCAATATTGTTTCGTAAGCATTCCTTGGGCGCGACATAGGGTACGACTACAGTGCACGCAGATTCAGATTCAGACTCAGAAAACAAGCGCGAGAAATAACCAGTGTAGTTAAAGAAAACCCCCGTTTCCACCAAAACAAAATTTCTTCCCCCATTAATCCTCCCATCATTTTAAAAAACCCCCCAAATTTGGGGTAACCCCCCCAACCTGGCAACAGAGCTCGCGTCCGCGTCTTGTATTATCTACCTCCACTGGCACTGTGGCCATCACCTGCTTTCCTCAAGCTGACATCTCACGAGCCTGTTTTCTGAGTCTGAATCTGCGTGCACTCTGGCCGTACCCATAGAGGATAGTGAAGTTAGTTACCTGTCGCGGCGCGGGGTCGCATCGCTACAAGTGCGCGGGCGGCGGCGAGGCGCGCTGCGTGGTGAGAGGGATGGGCAGCAAGTGTTGGGCGTAGTCCGGAGCCAGCAGGTAGCGCGGGGAACAGCACATCGCGTAAGACCCTTTCCGGGCCTGCAGCTCCAGAAGCGAGCACAGCGACCGCTCGTACAGCCACTGGTTGACCACCCATTGTGCTGCACAAACACAATTCATGTTCTAAAGTAAATATGACTAGAAAAATTCCACGCGGGCCAGGCAGCAGACGGGACTCGAACCCGCACCCTTCGCAATCCGGGCGAATGCACTGACCAATTATGCTACCGCGGCCCTCACGGAACGCGTCGAAATTCTTCTAGCCGTTCTTAAGCTGCAAGGCCCGCGTGGATTTTTTTCTAGTTATATTTTCTTTAGATTTAAACATCAAGCAATTACATGCTTTAAAATAATAAAAATTATAACAATTCATGTTATATTGTTTAAAACTTTCATGGTCACTAACATAATAGTAATATAAGTTATTTACGGGATTGAGAATTGAGATTCAGAATGTGAACAGTGGTACGGGTATCGAACGCAATAAAAGATTTCGTCGGCGGGTAGACCGATATGTCTAGGCTTGCCAACAATTTTTACAAGAAATAAAGTATATTCAGGTCTATGAAGAATATTAAACAGTATTTTAGAAAAATGAACAGTATTTTATTTATTTATAGTTTTAAATACATATTTTTTAGAACTTCTCACACAACTTATTAATTTACAATCTTTTTTTGTGTGAGCGTTTAAGTATAACACATAATAATTTGTTTGCATGTTGAAAACAGGTATTTTGTATACTTTATTTTTGTTCAACAGTAAAAAGTATAATTTAGTGAAAAACAGTATAATACTGTTGAAAACAGTATAGTTGGCAACCCTAGATATGTCTGCCAATAACAGCCTACCCGCAATTACTTCAGTTACTCCGTAATCATGGCGCTTGCAACAGTGCCGAAATATCGGAAACTCGATGAAAACAAGGTACATGGTAACAATCCCGTAAATAACTTATATTACTACAATTCATGTTTTAATTTTCTTAATTATACACTCAGGCAAACTTTTTGAGCATAGACGAGGAAGCCTACGCAATAGCTATTTTATATACGAAAACGTCTACTGTGCAAGTTTGTTTGTCTGTGGTGTTTTTAAACTAACAATGTAGAAGTTCGTTCCGCCGTGATCGTGGCATTTGCAACAGCGCCGAAATATAGAGACCTCGCAAAAAACATGGTAGCAATTCCGTTTATTAATATAGTACTGCAAAATGCGTTCTTATAACAATTATCGAGTCGCACAAACATTGTCAAATACACCCATTCTATATGTACACCAGGAGAAAGCTGAGCAGTGGCTAAGATGGTGTTACATCATAAATGCACAACCTTATCACTGACATTCAAAAGTTTTAAGCATAGCGCAGGTGACAGAACACAGAAAGAGGTTAGAAGGGTGATCAGAGACCGTTTGTACGGGAACAGATGTCGCCGGTTCGCCCCCACTACCCTGCCACCTAATAGATAATAGCCAATCAAATGACGCGACAGCAAACAATCGAACCAATCAGCGCTCACACCCGAGTGCAACGACGCAATCAAAACCAAGTTTTGGTCAAGTTGTGAGCATTTGCTCACTTACAACTTTGGAGAGCCTGCACCGCCCTTCTAACCTATTTCTGTGTTATGTGGACTGTACCATGCGGTCACATCTCACATTTTCTCTTCTCAATCATCCGCGGCATTGCATAGTGCAATTATTTAATATAGGCTTTCAACTCTCAAAAAATTAAATGTATATGAAAAGGTCACACAAAATTCGTATATATTAAGAGAAATAATTATTTTTAATGATGCAATAAGCTATTGTGTACTGTGACGTAAATCATGTCGTAATACTTATGTAGGGAGTGTTTTCCCACTATTCGTTTCTTAGTGACCTTACAGAAGACTGCAGTCATATTACACTTACCGGCCACACTCACAGACGAAAATATTAGTTAAACCTGATTAAATACAGATACTTTCCAAAAAATGGTAACTTATGTTTTTACTGTGAAATAGCCATATCTGATATTTATATTTCACTAAGTTTGTCGTTCTCGTTCTTTGATGAAAGAAAGAAAGAGAAAGAAAGAAAAAGTTTTTATTGGCCTCACACATACGTGGTTAAAAACATACAATAAATACAGCAATAACAATATGAAAATAAACAGAAATCAACAATATGGAAAGAGAAAAAATAAATAAAAAATAACAATTTCCAACACTCACATCAATTAGCCTAGCCCCATAGTAAGCACTGTAAGGCTTGTGTTATGGGATACTAGGGTAACAGATAGAATACATATACTATACATACATAAGCATATTTATATAGAAAAACATATTAAACATCCATGACTGGAGTACAAATGCTCGTATTCATCAAACAAACATCTGCCCCTACCGGGAGTCGAACCCGGGACCTCTCGAGTCGGCGACACCATGAAACCCGGCGTACAAACCACTCGGCCACGGAGGTCGTCATATAAAGCCAATCAGGACCCTGCCTCAGCTTAATGCTGTTATATTAGGAGAGAATATTCCCACCATAACAGCGCTGGTATTCTAGCAGGGCCAGGGAAGAATAACTCTTGTCAATTTGTAGTTTCGCACGAGCACCTACTCGCTTGTTAGTAAAGGTTTATATCCGAGATATCGTAGCCATTGTATAAACTGCGTTATTTGTAACGTATCCTTTTATAACAGTATAAAACTGATGGTTTGCGAGCCTTTAATACGTCATTTCGGTCTAGGAGACATAAAGCTCTATTGCACGATACCGTAAAAACGATACTAAAACTACAAACTGACGTACGCAGTCGGCAAATAAAGTGCAATTTTAAAAGTCATTAAGAAATTTATAAATAGTTAGCGCATGGTCTTTCACATATTGTTGGCGGTTTCACCCGCACCGTATGATGACTAGAGATCAAAACGCGACATCAGTAGGAGATTCTTAAAAATAATATTTCACTGCCTAGTTCGATAAGTCCAATTTTATACATTTGACTAGCTGACCCAGCAAACTTCGTACCGCCATAAAAAAAATAGGGGTTGGTGGTAGAAGGGTGAAAATTTAGGGTTGTATGTATTTGTGTATGATGACTCATAAAAAAATTAAAAAAAAAAAAACAAATTGAAAAAAAATTTAGGGGTGGATTACCCTTAACATTTAGGGGGATGAAAAATAGATTTCATCCGATTCTCAGACCTACTGAATATGCATATAAAATTTCACGAAAATCGGTCGAGCCGTTTCGGAGGAGTTTAACCACAAACACCGCGACACGAGAATTTTATATATTAGATATTAACGTAATCCATATAGGGATTATGTTAATTCACGGCAAAATGTTGAAGCAGCAATTACTTATTAAATTCACAGTCAGAAATAGAAATCTCTTATCTATTAGACAAGTCCGTCCGTCCGTCCGTGGTGCTGTTTCAGCGGCCAAACCGTAAGAGATAGATATAGAGAATGTTTAAGTTATAAGTTAAGAATAGTCTGATAAGACTACAAACCGGATGTGAGTAACGTAGCACTTCCGGTTTTCGAGAAATCACGTGATTTCTATTTGAAACGAAACCACACAAAATCTCCGAAGTTCTCAATTAATTAAATACATTTTTTTTTTTTGGTGAACATTTGGTTCACTGGTTTGCTAGTATTGATTAAGTGACGACACGGACATAAATTATTCCGACAGAGTTTATTATTACAACAACCAATTATCATGGAACCGTATTAACAAAATTGAAAATAATATTACAATACATGTACGAGTAACAAATTCAAAGGTTTCATAAAAAATGCACCGAAAAGAAAAATATATCTTTGATCGTTCGGTAAAAAAAATGTCCAGTTTAGCATCATTGAATGCTAAATAATCAGTAAGTAAGAACTGTTTAGTGTCTATATTGTCAGCTCTAATTTTGTAGATTCCTTCGCAAAGAGGGAGGGAGGCTAACACGCGAAGTTCGAATAAATTGGATCGTTCGAGCGAAAAACGTTTCAACTTTATGACGACGAATAAACAATACTCGTAAGTCAAAGATCTGTAGGGTTGCCGCCAGGATTATATTGGTTGTAATCCGCAAATCGCACATTTATACATAACTAGCGGCCGCCCGCGACTTCGTACGCGTGGAGTTAGTTATTTGCACATACTGTTTGACCCCAAAAGGGGGTTTATTTCTAAAGATACATTATAAAACTAGTACACCTCTACATCATCTATAGAGCATACATGTTAAATTTCAAGTCTCTTCAAAAACATAGGACTTTCATACAAACTTCCAAACCCCGTATAGGGACTTCGTTTACTCCACCCTTCCCTTAGGGCCGACTTCTTAATAATATTCGTGCCTTTGAAGTAATGCAGTACTTTTTGAGTTTATCCCGGACATAGATACAGCCAAACATTCTAAAAACTATATTTTTTGCTTCGGTATCGATTGTAGATCACACTTCAAGTATTCTTTAAAAAAAATATATAATACTAGCTGTGCCCCGCGGTGCTACCCGTGGTTTATTAGGGATATTTTCCCGCAGTAAAACGCAGCCTATGTGTTAATCCAGTGTGTCAGCTAACTCCATACCAAATTTTATTAAAATTGCTCCAGCCGTTTAGACGTGAAGAAGTAACAAACATACACACTCACAAACTTTCGCCTTTATAATATTAGTGTGATACTGTTTTGATTTTCCTACCATTTTATTACATGTATAGATTCCTTTGATACGGAAGTTGTTATCTGCATGTCGCCTTTTCACCCTAAAGCCGCTGAATCGGTTGATGAATTTCAGTATAACATAAAAGCAAAGGGAAGGACATAAGCTATTTTTTTTACGACCTCCTTGCCGAGTGGTTTGTACGCCGGGTTTCATGGTGTCACCTACTCAAGAGGTTTCGAATCCCGGTGGAGGCAGATGTTTGTGCGACGAATACGGGCATTTGTACTCCAGATGTTTAATATGTATTTCTTTATAAATATACTTATATAAGTACAGTATATGTAAAGCTAACTCCCACGGAGATAAAAGCATGCGAAAATCAATAAATTTACGCAAAGTGTAGGGCATGGGCATCGGCTATATGTAAAATAAAATTAAT